GCTCCACTACTTGACCATAGTCTCCTTCGTCAAAACGTTCAAGTGCGGCAAAGATACGCGAACCGATTTCACGGTAAGATTTTCCGATATTCGTATCGGACGCTTCGACTGTTTCTTTCAGTGAACGAAGAAAATCTTTTTTCATCTCGATATTGGCAAAATTATCCAAGACGAAATAGTGATGAAAATCGTTAAAAAGTGTTTGATGATCACGCAAATGAACTTCGAGAAACTGTCTCAATTGAGAATTCGATTGCGATGGATATGGATGTCCAGCCAGTTTAAGACGATAGATCAACGCGGCAGCATCGGTATATTTTAATCGACTTAATTCTGTTCCATTGTTGTTTAAGAAGCAACACTGAAGAATTTCTTTTGCCGTCTCCCAATTGCCTTGTTCCAATTCATATAGTGCCCAATGCCAGTCGATATGTGGTGCGATTATATCGCATTGATGCCAAAGGTTGTCAGTTTTCTCCAAAAAGTCAATGCCTTCGGATGTTTGACCCAGATATTCGTTAGCATGTACCAGTGCATGTGTGGCCCACGCGTCATGTTCATTGAGTTCTAGTCCAATTCGAGCTTGTTTTTCTGCTCGTAGTACCATATTTGTTTCGCCTAAACCAAATGCATGCATGCCGTACAAATGTGATTTGAGTGGACGATGTGGCGATGATGATTCCCAAATAGGTAGTACTCGTGCAACTGAATCTCGAAGCATATTTTGGTTGCCAAGATGAAAATAAGTGTCGAGTGCAAATTTCAAAGTCATGATATCAAAAGGATAACTGAGAAGGATAAGTTCCCATGTGTCAGTAGCGCGCTCTCGATAGCCAAGTGACCAATCGATGAGCGCTTGCGCATGAAGATTGATGTAGCGATTTGGCGAAGTTGCTGCATCACCGAGTGTTTCAACAAGTTGCGCATGAGCCAGTACAGATGGACGAGGCACTGAGAACATTCCAAGAGCAGCGGCTAGAATACGACTGCTGGCGCAATTTGGATCGGAAGCAAGAAGACGAGATAGACTGGGTTTGATACCACCCAATTGCTTGTCGTTGTACCTGACGAAAGGAAGAATATCTTTGAGCATGCAAAAACAATCCACGTAACTAACTCACCAGCCAATATATTGTGTCAGTGTTGCATCAAACAACTTTGCTGCTTCATCGCTTGTCGTATCGATTGGAATTCCGTCGTCATGTAGAGCTTTGACATCACGCCAATGATCTCGAAATGGCATTTCGAAAAACGAATTTCTACCCTCAACTTACTTGTTACTCTCGAAAATGATTCTCTCGATATATCTAAGATAAAATAGAGATATGTTTGTAGGTTGAAAGAGAACACGTGCGAAGATTACCTTAGTATAAAAATTGGTATGGTGGAAAAAAGCAGAAAGAAAAAAATGTCGAACGATGAAATGTCGAAGGTAAAATGACGAAAGGAAAATGGTAAGAGAATTAAAAATCATTAACATGAACATCTTGCCCAACCATTCAGAAATTTATCGAATAGAAAAATACGAGAACAGGATCATTCATAGTGTCATTGAGATGATAAATAAATTAACGAAATATTCGAGCTACTGATGAAAGTAATGAACCATTTTTTTTCTGTTCGATGACGTGTTTTTGGCGACTACATAGGATAATCCCTTTAAGAGTTCAACAACAGCAATATTGTTATTTTGAAAGCGTAAATATAACGTATCAATACGTTGTTATATTGCGTTGTTTTGTAGTCGTTTTCGATCTAGTTTCAAGATCACATATCATTTGAAGCAGGATATGCTTAAACCTGTTTTTTTTGCTGCTTGCACACATCGAATGACAATTCCTATATTCAGATTATATTCAGCATTACATAAATTCAGACGATTATGAAATCGTATAAATATCCCTGAATCATGCTTGTCTTGAAGTATTAACGAATGCTGCAGGCCTATATCGTTGTTTGTTATAATCCGAATTCCATAAACATTCCATTTACTAACGTCGACTTCTTTCATTCATTGATTGTCAAAATAATCATATAAAGGTCTCAATGAATCAAGTTCTGTTGAAAACACTAAAAGTACACTTTCATAAAGATCCTCTAAAAGTTCACATAAAAGTGAGTGTAGATGTAATTCAAGAGCCGTAAGCTTCCTGCACATGATACAAATACTTTCATCATTAATATTAGCAACTGATAAACTAAGTTGCTATATATTACGATAGCATCAGTATGAGACACAGAGATGACGAATTTTTAAAAGGTTGGAGGATAACGACCGCTTACTATCATTATTAGCGATATTTTTTTTCGCATTTTTTCATCTATCCTAAAAATTGGGCAGCAAACGCTTGTGATAGAAATGCGAATTCAAGAAATGACTATTGCAGTTATTTATCTTTTTCTTGGATGTTCCGTTACATATCAAATATGCAAGAGATTATGGTTGTCCGATTGTTTTTCAAGATGGCCGGAGCTAAATTTTAGCAGCAAGCAAAACTGAAAAACACCAGCTAACTTCAAAATACCATTCCGTTTTATATTTATTTTTTCACTAACCAACATAAATTATAAGCACAAGACACAGGTCTCAAAACAATATGGAGAACTGTCTCCTAGAACAGACCACAGTCTATCGACTGCTCTTCGTGATTTCTAAAAAATAAAGCTATATTTCTCGATTTGACTCTACCATGATTGTGAACGACATCTTCGACGATGAAATTTATTGTTTCTTGCATTAGTTGAACATACCACATAGATGAACACAATATCATGCATATTAAAAATCAATTTTACAAAGGCCAAGAAAGTATTATTCATTTATATAAGGATAATAGACATAAATTCTGATTGTTGTAAAATTGGTTTCTAATATATATGATATAGTTTTTCCTTATTTACCTCCTCTTGCTCTATCGGACTATGACAAAAAAAGGAAAAATAAATGCTGCTGCAGTATGCTAGTTTTGGCACATGAGAGAAGTAAATTCATTTTTATCGCAAATTCGATTATGTCTATGACAAACATTTATTTAGGTAGGTCACTTAAAATGCATTCAACAGTAGTAAAGACCTGTTTAGTTTTGTAATCTTTTACTTTTTCAAATCCAATTTTGTTTGATTCTTACTTTACATTATTGTCTTTAATCAATATTGTATTCATATACAATTGTTCATGTTGCTGTATTTAGTTTTGTGAGAACTATGTTTGTAACCAATGGAGCATTATTGGGAAAAAAGGATGTGAATACGACATTATGATTAGGCTATTACAGTTTATCATGTGCTAGTAGAGCGATGTTTTTGAAATAATGTCACTAAAAAAAAAGAAAAACCTTCCACCATTTGTCTTAAACCACTGTAATAATTGCACGATCCATCAAGAGATATTTTTTTTGACGAGGGCACAAAAAATTTTCAAGCTAAAATAGGAAAATCTTTGATTGTCTATGTATCTTACATGAAGTGTTGTTATCAGAAACACGCACTGTATTTATTTTCAATAAAATGAGCAAAACTATTTGCTGTCGCTAAAATACGGAATCTCATATGAAATGAACAATTAGAAATCGTAGTGCATCTCCACTCATCTTCAAAAACCCAAATATTGCAAATAATAATAGCTGTAAATACTGTCAAAAAATGATGAATTTTATTAAAGCCCCTTTTGATCCAAAATACTTTCAAGGAATAACTCATGAGATTGGTAAGGTTGATATAGGCTACAAGTCTCACACAGTCGCTTTTTTACGTTGTTCGAAATATCAAGTCGACTGAGTTGATCCTGAATATCGACAGCGCAACCCTCAGAAATATAATTTGAAATTGAATTTTGTGTTTGACCTACATTCGAATTTTAAGGTCCACCCTTTGTTTTTGACCATCCTAATCTTTAAGCTAATCTCTAAAACATTGAAAAAAGCATCTCTTTGATGTAACTTTCCAAGATCCATCAGAGAATGATTGGAAACACTCAGCACGTTGTAGTCATGAAATATGAGTAGGATTACGGTGAGGTAGATTTTGGCATCCTCATTTTCCATTGCTCGTAGTGCATCTCAACAAGTTAAACTCAAGTGAGACTATAGCAGTTCGATGTAATTTTTTAACCTCTATCCAAATATATTATTGAATTGATTAAAATACGCTGAGATCACGTTGAAAAAATTTGATATTCAAACAAAAATATGTTATTTTCCTTATTATTGATTGACTTTTTTGCCTTCCACTCTGCATAATACAATTCTTCTCGTCTCTAATTTGTGCTGCAAACGACCGTTAGATATTGTCCACAAAAAGATCTTACTGTCCTTATCGTATGCCTAAAGTTTCAGTTAAAGGGAAAGAACACCTTATGAGTTATGATGTGTTCAACGATACTGGATTTTTCACTTTTCTTGTGATACATATGCATCTCTTGACTGTCTCATATCTCAACAAAAAACATTCTTCATGATTAACACTTCTGATGTATTATCCTTATATCATTTGCATGTGTTTTCAGCAAAAGCTAGAGACGACAAGAATTGCATTGTGCATAGTGGAAGGTGAAAAAGTCAACCGATAATAAGGAGAATTGGGTGTTTTTGTCTGAATATCAGATTTTTCAATGTGATTCCGGCGTATTTTAATCGTTTTAATAATATATATGGATAGAGCTTGAAAAATGACGTTGAACTACTATAGCCTCACTTGAGTTCAAAACTGTTCAGTACACTACAAGCAATGGAAAATGAAGGTGCTAAAGATTACCTTACCGTAATACTCCTTCTATTTTGTAACTACGAAGTGATAAATGTTTACAATGATTTTTATTCGTTCAGATTTTGATAGAGCTTGGAAGATTACATAGAAGAGATACTCTTTTGGATGTTTCGAACAGTAATTACAAATGTGCTTTCTTGATTGATCAAATAAATGAATATGTGGCGTTCTATTAATATCATGTTGATTGATTTTTATGAATTGTGAAGACATAATCATTTAGATAAAATTTGAAAATGTTGAGTGATCATCGCATACCAACAGTATCGATGATTGTGTCTTTAGTTTCCAATGAATATGAAATTGAACTCAAACGCACTCATACCAATGACGATAATCATAGTATTGGCTCGAATACAAGTTCTTCCCGTGGAAAGCGTAATTCTATTACGAATTATTTTCAGAAGATTGTGAAAAAGCTTGCTTGTCTCAACGTAGAAACACGCGGTATCGAACGAATATTACCAGAACATCGAACTGATTTGACAATTATCAACACGGCAATAATATGGGTAAGAAATCTAAATATCTTTGCCTTTATTTTATTCTAATCCTCAGTAAATCTAATGTGCGTAAGAAATAGTTAACTGTAATCGCTTTTGATTAGGAGAAAGATGTGTGAGCGAGACCACTTTTGTCAGTTTCAAAGAAAAATCTTTTTAACAGAATGTAGAAGAAGATACCCTGCCTTTCACCTACCTTACGGCATGGGGTGCTGTCCAAGGGCAGTTTCGATAGGCTTGATGTTTTCCTGCATCCATTGCTAAATGTAGCTCTGGGCAGAAGGTCGGCCTGACTCAGAGTTTTTCTCGCTTAATTATTTAAGCTTCCCATACATACTGACTAACTATATACCAGCCATTCAGACTATAATGTATGTCGACAACGTAGTCAGTTTGTTATCGGATGGGTGAACCGAGACAAAATAAGCCGTTAGTGACTTGTTCAGGGTCATTCTATGACTGACGGAGCCAAGGTTCGAACACATGTCCATTGGATATGTGCCAAGCATCTTAACCATTCAGTCATAGCGGCTAACAGAATATATGAAAATGCGTGCTCCATTTAAAAGGTTGCTGGTCTGATCACTCTCGATCTGTTCTGGATTTGAAAATATACCGGAATGATAATCATAAAAAATACTATGAAATTACAAGACATTGAGTAATAATCTTTTAAAATTTTCATCAGAAAGGAAAATAGCTTAAAGTGCTTATCAAAACTATTGAACTAAAATGTGCAGTTTAGATTATTCATCTTTGTTTATTAGGTCAGTGCAAATCTAATTATAACATGTTTTGCTGGTGGTACACTTGGTCCAGCAGTATTCAAATTAAATCTTTACGATTCATTTGCAACAATTATCTTTTTCAATTTACTTGGTTTTATTCCGGTAGCAGTAATGGCTTGCTATGGTCCAGCATGTGGTCTACGTACAATGATCTTTTCTCGTTACAGTTAGAGTTATTATGGCGCTTGGATAGTATCAATTATTAATGTTATTGCTGCAATCAGTTGAACAGCTACTAATAGTATTACTGGTGCTCAAACATTACGTGTTGTATTTAATGATTCATTACCGGTAGCTGTCGGTATTATCATTATTGGTCAGTGCTGCCACCTTTTGAACCTTAAAAAGCAGAAAATCATTTTCAAAAACCAGAAATTGACAGAAGATTTATCGTCAGAAAGCAGAAAAAAAAGCAGAAAGTATATTTTTGATATAGAACTATTTTTAAGTTTTGTTTCAGTGTCGTAACGAGGAGCTTTCACATAGAAACCTGAAATTTATTATTCAAAATCAAGAAAAAAGTTAGACAAATAAATATAATTATTAAACATATTTTCTTTTAAATGTATACTTTTCATCTGATTTAATAGCTCGTAATAAATCTTCACTACTTAATATATATTTATATAATTCAGTACATGATAAAGTTGAATTTAAACGTATTTTTAATTCAGCTGATATAAGCTCTGTTGTCATACTACTTCTCTTATCACTTAGTAAATGTTTCATTTGTGAGAATGCTGATTCGACGTAAGCATTGCTACAAGGTAATGAATATAAAAAACAAATGAGTTTTTTAAAATTTGGTGATTTGGTGAGGGAAAGTAATAACATCCATAATTGATCAGATCTCACTCTCTTTGCCCCTGTTGAATAATCATCATCAACGTCTGTTACATCATCACATATGTTTGTTACTGTTATATCATTTTGTTTTTTAACAAATGCTTGAACTTGATCAGATATTGGAATACTTTGATCTGATATAGTTTTAAACATTGATTTTATGTTCGTATATTCGTCGAATAAACAATCTTCATTTAAGCCTTTTATTTTTAACATATCAATACATTGAATAACTTGATTCCATGTTAAAGCTTCAATATTTTCATAACTAAAATAATTTATTGTTCTGTAAAATACTACGTTTTGATCGAAATAAGAGTCAATGTACGAAATAATTTTACTTAAAAATTCAATAAATGATGTTTTTAACATATTTTGTTTGTCGATTGGTAAACGTGCCAATCTATATCGACAAGCTGCACCAAAAAATTGTGAATCAATACGCTCCTTTAGTTTATTTTTTATGGATGTTATTATTCGAAATAAATCGACAGCTGTTGTATAATAGCGTTGTAATTCGAGGTTCTTTTGATGAATTTCAAATAATACATGTTGCAAAAAACTTAAAATGCATGGAACTTCATCACATTCAAAAAATTGTTTTATTTCCAATGGACAATTTTCGTGTTGTTCCAAGAAATATTTCTTTACGGGGATAAATACTTCCACCAAACGTTCGATGGATAAGTATAGACTTAACCACCTTAGTTTTATATGTTTCAATATTACCTGCAAAAAAAGTAGAAAGTATTGTACATTAGATCTGTATATAAGCAAGACTACGTGACAAAAACATTTTACTTTAAAATCTTGTTCATAGAATTCGTAATATTGTTTTAATTCATTTACACGTTTTGCAGAACGTGAAAAATGAGAATATATAGAAAGTAAAATTTGCTCAATGTCAATTGGTAACACACGATGAGCATGTTTTACAGAATTATGTAATATATGACTGTAACAATTGCCTAGAAGTAAAAAATATAAAACATATTCTTATTTAAAAAAAAACAAACAACTATCTTTTCTAAAAACAACAGAACATATATGCCATCGAGAATTAGTTAGTTTGAAAGGACTCAAAAATTAATTCTTATCATGCATAATTAATTTCTGATGGCCAAACTGGCAAAGTTTATTGGATTACAAAGACGTGTAACTTTCTTAATAAGCTAAAAGTACTGTACCTTTCAGAATATCAGGTACTTCATCTTTAAATAATGAATAAACTGAATGATTATCACCCACATTGACGTTCGTGTTATCAACTCCTAATGCTGTTAATCCATGTATATCTAAACCATTATCCAAAAGCAACTGATGTGCATTTGCAAAAATTTTAATTGCTGATTCATCAGCATCATCAATTAAATCAATTATTCCTAAAACGATAAAAAAAGATGTCAATGAATTATAAGTTGAACAAATTCAGCAAGAAAACAGACCTTTTCTAACACCCGTAGCAGACAAAAGTTGAACACAAAATGGAAATAATTTTGCATTTCCTTTATTACTAGCATCATATAATAAAGAAAAATATGAGGACTTTTTCAAATCATCAAGTAAATGTTGAGTAAAACATGGCGATAATACATTTACAGCAATGGATGTTGCTTTGGTTCGAGCACATGATAAATTATTTGCGACTGTTGAAGATGCAAATATTGTTTTACATACATTTATCAAGCATTGTTGAGATAAATATGAATGTCCATGTTTAACACCATGATATACTAGAGTGCCTTCAGCTGCAGCAATTTCATCTTTTTCTTTTGAAGGTTTCATTGTATTTGTTATTAACTGTTGATTTATACCAAAAGACTTCATATTGTTTTGATGCTTCTGAGTCTTCATATGATTATCTATGTCAGTTTTGATCTTGGTGGAAAACGTAGAAAAGGAAAACGCAGAAAAGGAAAACGCAGAAAAAAAATAGTCGAAAGGAAAACGTAGAAAAGGAAAATATAGAAAAGGGAAACGTAGAAAAGGAAAATATAGAAGAGGAAAATATAGAAAAGGAAAACGTCGAAATGATCAATGTTATTATTTTGATCAGTGACAAATATATATATATGCTTTATTAATTTAAAATAAAAAAGATGAAAGAAAATGACAATATGAATGCATCTAATTTTTTTTCTTTCCAACTAACAGTGATAAACCTGACAAAAGTTCACTTGCTTAAATTGACCGGGTGAGGTATCAAAAGTACCATCCATGAAAACTGTATTACTCTCGAATAACAGTTCTAGTTGTTGATCACTTGAGAAAATCAAAATAAGATTTTTTCCACGTTTTAAACATACATCTGCAAGTAAAAATCGTTTATGTGATAATGTTTGTTGATATAATTCTGGAATTTCGAAAATTTCAGATGATGGTATTACAGGTGTATTTTTTCGTCGTGCTTTACTCATGTTAGACCCTTAATATAAAAAGAAACATTTGAAACGAAATATTTCACTAATGTATAGAGTAATACATACTATATTCAACTACAGTTGGTAAAACTGCTACTGCACCTTTGGATAGATTTGCTTTAGCTACTTCTTCATCATATATCCTCGTAATTGATGTTGTTTCACTTATTATTCGTTCCTTCATTTTATCTCGTAATAGTTTAGCTTCTAGTTGATCTGGATTGAAAGGATGATTATGATCACCATTGATACATATCATTTCACCATCAATTGTTGTGTGTATATAAACACCACATTCTCGCTCACTGCATAACCAATACTTTTTATTCACTGTAGTTTTATTGCACTTGAATAAGTAATTCTTGTATATTAATAATGGTTTTCCCTTGTTGGTTGTACAGGACGATATATCAAAATGCTGGGCTTTACATGAACTATTTTCAGAATCTAAATTTGTCGCCATTCTCATAATATATCAATTCAATATGTGAAAAATTTCTTTATTCGATCAGAAATATTACATGTGGACAGAGAGAGTGACCAGTGAGAATAAGAATACAGAATATATTTCTCTAGTGACATTATTCGAATGCATTCGATATTTTTCTTTTCTGTGTTTTCCTTTTCTGTATTTTCCTTTTCGATATTTTCCTTTTCGATATTTTCCTTTTCTGTATTTTCCTTTTCTACGTTTTCCTTTTCTACGTTTTCCTTTCCACTATTTTTTTTCTACATTTTCCTTTTCTGCGTTTTCCTTTTCTACGTTTTCCACCATCCCCTCAGTTTTACCTCGATAATGAATAGAAAACTGTTGATTGCAGACTATACATGTTGCTTGAGACGAATCCGATTTATATTCTTTTAAAAACAGTTGATATTCGGCGATTTTTAACCATTCTTTATTGAAAACGCCTTTCTTCCGTTTCTTTTTTTTTGGTTGTACTATTGATGTGGATGATAAATTTTCGACCGTAACCAGAACTTGAGTTCTACCTTCATCATCAGTCGTTTTTTCATCGACATCATCATTTAATTTTTCTGCATCAATAATATTACTGGTCATATTAATTAATGATGTTGGTCAAGCAAAAACAAAAATCGTAGATAATTATTTGTATAAATCAGATAAATAAAGTTAAGTATAAGATGTGATGGATGAATAAATATTGTTACTATGTTTTATTAGACAAACAGGGAGTATATATAGGAAAGAGATAAAGAAATGATTCAAGGAAGAAGACGAGAAGCTTCGCCGTCCTTTTAGATAATGAACAATAAAAAGAATAAAAATGTTGATCATTTTTATTGAGAATAGTCGTCAGTTAGAAAAAGTCGGTCAGACGAGCAAGAACATATGGAAACAGCTGGACAGAAAAAAGAAAAAAAAACGGGAACATATGCATAACAGCTGAACAGAAAAAAAAGAACGGAACGGGAACATATGTATAACAGTTGAACAAAAAAGAAAAGAAGTAGGAGACTATGTAGCAGAAAACAGAATATATGGTGGAAAGGAAAATATAGATAAAAAACGGAATAGAAACAAAAAATATTCATTGGTAGTTTTTCATAATCGGTGAAAAAAAAGACTTTTTTAATAAAGAATTAGAGTAGAAAAAAGGTACCAGCAAGTATTGATAAGAATTTATCTTTATACTTTTGAAAACGGCCTTTCACATATAAAAATATTGGTTGAAGATATAAAAAGCACAATATTAAAAAAGCAGAAAAAAATTGGAAAAACAGAAAGGACAGAAAAAAAGCAGAAAAATCTTCAAAAAGCAGAATTTTTCTGCTAAAAGCAGAAAAGGTGGCAGCTCTGTTATTGGTATTGCATCAATGATCGTCTCACTTATAGGCTATAAATGGATTCATACTTATGAACGATATTCATGGATACCGGTGTGCATAGGATATTGTATATTGGCGAGAGTTGATGCTAAGTATTTTACAAATTCAGAGTGGTAACATCCGCAAATTGTGCAGAAGTCTATTCTCTGACGTATTTAATTCTTAAAAAGAAAAGTTTTTGTATTTTTTTTAAAGCAAAGCAGAATTTTCGGCAACAGTAAATTTTGATCTTTTACTGTCAAGTGAAAATCAGCCATATGATCAAAATCGAAAAAAAGTTGAGGAAAACATGAGCTGCTTGTAAACTTCACATCTTAGCTGAACACGTTATTTATGTAAAGATATGATTGTAGAAAGAATGTTTATTTTTCCTAAAAACCCTGCCAAAAAACTGTGTTGCCAACATGCAGGATTATTTAAAGAAGACAGACGGAAAACCTCGTGTTTGTTCTCACTATCGACTTCACATTTAAGTGAGACCATGCTGCTAATTGATATGAGAAGCTTTAAAATGAATGAATGAATGAATGAATGAGACTCTGTATTTTTACATCCTACGTAGGTATCTCACAATATAACTATATCAAGTAACAGTAGTCATCGTCTGAAAGTCGTCCGTATTTTAAATTTTGGAGCAACATGTTTTGGTACTGCAATTAGTTGGTCTACATATTCGGCTAATTACAATACATATTTTCCTGAAGCTACAAGTCCAATAAAAGTCTTTCTTTATACTTATCTTGGTAATATTCTGTCGATGATTCCAATACAATTACTTTGTGCAGCTGTTTATACTGGTACATATACAAACGACAAGTGGGATCATGCGTATGAAACTAACAGCATTGGTGGATTATTGGGTGCTAGTCTATCGTCTCTTGGTGATTTCGGTAAATTTCTACTAATTTTATTTGCATTGTCAACTATTGCAGGTAATATACCCAACATCTATTCTTTATCATTATCTGCATAAGTAATTGCACCAATATTTAATCGTATACCACGTTTTCTGCATACAGTTATTGGTACTGTAGTATATATTCCATTAGCTATTGTTGCTGCACATAAATTTAATGATTCATTAACATCGATTATGGGTGTATCTTCATATTTGTTTACGATACTCATTGTTATTGAATTGGAAGATTATCTATTATTTCGATGTTGTTCATTTAAAAATTATAATTTTGATATCTTGGATAGTTATAAGCTATTACCAATTAGTTTAGCTGCAATTCTATCTGAAATTGTTGGAATTATTGGTGCTGCACTTGGAATGTCACAAACTTGGTTTAATGGACCAATTGCAAAAGTTATTGCACGAGATACTGATGCACACGGTGCAGATGTTGGCTTTGAAGTTGGATTGATTTTTACAACAGTCACTTATCCATTATTGAGACTCATTGAACTATATTTTGTTGAACGGTGAATGTTTCTTTTATATTTAAAGATGATAAGATTATACACGTAAATAAAAACATTATCAAAAACTGTGGAGGTGGGTGAGCATGTGTCCCTCTCCTCAATAATTGAAAACTGTTCATTATTACCCGATAAAACTAGCAGAGTTTTCCGAATTTTCGACTATATCTATATAACATTTTCTTAAACACTGTTAGTGTAGCATAATTAACACATCAAGTACGTGACTTTTCATAAAAGTTACTGTTAGATGAGAAATAATCATTAATAGTCAAGATTTTTGTATATATTATTAATAAGGAAAGTAAAAGTAAAATTCTTTTAGATGTAGCAAGGGTTTTAACATAATTAATCGTTTCACCTTAGCACAATTCCGTTGCTGTTCTTCTCTTGTAAAATTCTTTTTTTACACTCCTCATGTTATCATAACTGATTGTGAATTAGTTTAGACACGGTATATATGTCTGTACTTCATTTAAAATTGTTCAATACACTTAGTATCTCCACTGCTGCCGTCAAGTATTGTAAGAAAAGGATGTTCAGTAATTGAATACGATTGACTATTGTCAAATAAAAAATGTGTTAAGATTACATGATGACTGTGAATTAAGATTTGTAACACGAAAATTATTCAATAATGGAAAAGATTGAGCATGCCGCATGAAGAATTCATGGTTGAATGGAACTACACCTTGTACTAATAAATGCGTAATATAATTGAATACAGCATTTGAAAATGTATTGCCAATATATATATGAGACGACCAAAAGTACAAGGAATTGACAAAATAGAACATATAGCTTTACGCCCTATGACACAATCTACGATACTAGCCTTTTGATACCGTTCTATATTTGTCATGTAGAGATGCGGCAAATATTATTCGTGCGATAAATAAAATCTAATTTTCTTACTTTTGTATTTTTAGATGAACTTGATAATATCATCCTTAGTAAAGGAGAATGCAAGTGACGTTTCAGTAAAAATATTGTTTAGAAAAAAGCCTAAAGAGTCCCTATTACGAACATTTTGAAAATTTCGTTTACACAGTCACAATGAATATTTCAAGGCATGCAATTCTAGATTGTTGACTCTCTCTTCGAAAGCAACATAGAAAATTTCATCGAATGTAGTAGATTTTATACCAATGAGAGTCTTTTCAGATTGTCCTACTTAATGATAGAAATCCATGCTGGATAGATACGAACGATCCAGAGTTATTGAAAAAGTAGTAATGAAAATTTTGAAAAACGGACGATGCATGTCTTCAAATATTGACTGTGACTGTGTAAACAAAATTTTCAAAATGTTCGTAATAAGAACTCTTTAGGCTATTTTCTAAACAATATTTTTACTGAAACCCTATTTGCATTCTCCTTTATTAATGATGGTTTTATCAAGTTCATCTAAAAATACAAAAGCAAAAAAATTAGATTTTATTTATCGTACGAATAATTTGTGTCGCATCTCTGTATGACAAAGATATTTTTATGTTTTCTAGAATGAGCTCGTAAGTTGAGGTTTTTATAATTAACAAGTTATAATATCATCTTTGGTCAGCACCCTGTGGTTGTAACGCTCCTTTGGCATATATATGACACATTTCGAAATTTTAACTTTGTATTTTTGTTCTTGTCTGACCAATTCATTCGTCTTCGATGGCACGGTATAATTGAAATAAAACGATGTGGCTGTGGCTTCGAGTTCATTCTTGACCATGCCTACATTTTTATTCAACCACCGACACTCTCATACACAGAGTCTTTATTTTTGCCTCTATTTTTCTAATTCTTTTATAACAAGTCTTGATAATAAACTTGATAAAGTTAATATCGATAATAATAAATCAAGTTACTTACATGTATCATTTAATACCGATGAAGCTAATGTTCAATACATCGCATCAAGTTGATAATTGAACTTTACAACCAATGAGTATTTGATCAAAGTCTATTTCTTTTAAGCAACTTGTAAATATTATTCGTGACCCACCAACTGATTCATCGAAAATCTACAAGTAAAAAACGAAAGAAAGTTAGGTAGTAAGAACTGTTTATTTTTCTTTTTCCACAATATTAGATCTCTAACATACATCTAAAATTAAAAGCTCAATCAGTAACAATGCCATCTCATTTATGAATAAAACTATGAATAACCTCTGGTTATTAGCATTGCGAAAGCAAATCATGAATTATTGTATCATTATCATTATTTGTGAAGTATAATAGTGTTCGTCGTGAAAAATATTCGAAACTACTAAATTATTATTGGTCAATTATAAAATGAATTAAATAAACAAAGAAGGAAACAAGATAATCAGCACTGGAATTTAATAAGTTTGTGTATTTATTTTATCATACTCAAATGAGAAGAGTCCCAATTTTTGAAAGACAAATTATTTTTAATATTATTTGTAAATTGAATATAAACGAAACTGACAGATTGAAGGTCTCTTATTCTATCATTAGATTATATGGACGTGACCGAGCTTTAAATCGAAGATATTCGAATTTTGCAACATCGTGACTTATATTCATAGAATTAAAATAGTCGTTATACATATAAATATTGTCATCGTCTTTGATGTCCTAGATTAAAGATTCTAATGTTTGAATTGATGCATGATCATTAAAAAAAGTAATAATATATCTCAAGCTTTGATATTCGACTTTGAAGGCATGTTACTTAAATTTATTGTAAAAACTGAGCTTAACTCTGTTGAAATTATATGGTGTTCAATTTAATTAGAGTTCAAAAGAAAATAAAAACATATGAATAATGTTTTGCTTTTTCATAGCGATTATTCGACTGTCTTATCGCAATCACGAATTATAATTCAGAGGTTGAACGAAAATACCTGTACTTGATGTACTTGTGTTTGTCGTACATCCGATGTAATGCAGAGAAATTTTTATCTCTTACTGTTGTCTTGTGAATATGGGTGGAAATTTGATATTTTCGTTGAGATTCAAACTGACATTCAGTAGCTACTTGGCCTTTGAGAAGCTATGTCTCGTTTATCCTGTACTAAACACATGTCGTACTGTCATCGTTGATATTTTCTTTTTCATATAATCTCTTTCGAGATTATTCTCATTTAACATTTTGTCTTTTTGCATAATCTCTTTCGATATTATTCTCTTGTAATTGTTTCCCTTTCTAATCCATTATTGCGAAGCTAGAAATATATATTGTCCAGTACCAAAAAGGCCTGCTCGTAAAAAAATAAAAACAACAAGTCTCACTTAACTTGCAATATGCATGATGATCGATGCGTCGGTATCGTCGGCTGTGGAAACATGGGTCTCGCATTGGCCCACCGTTTATTCTTAAGTGGATTTACTGTAGTAATAGGTAGTCGTTCTCCAGAAAAGCGACAAGCCACAAAATATGAAATAGTCTCAATTACTGAATGTATTCGACGTTCGCCTATTATCTTCGTGGCTATCCATCCGGAAAACTATATGGATTCTCTTCTATCATGTCTGGAAAAAGAACCATCATTGTTTGACGATAAAATCCTAATTGATCTATCAAATCAAACCTCTGACAAAACACATCAAAATGATTTTTCCAATGCCGAATTGCTTCAAAAGGCAATACCCAATGCCTTTGTTGTTAAAGCGTTCAATACTATCTCATCATTTCTCATGCAAAGTACAACAGCGGGTGAACCACATAATATTTTTGTTGCTAGTGATCATACAATCGCCAAAGATAAAGTAATCGCACTAGCACGTGAAATGAACTTCGAATCATTTAATGCAGGTTCAATTCGAGCAGCGCGTCGCCTAGAAACTGATACTAAATCTCTGTTTCCTCAATGGCGGCTTCCTGTTCTTGTCGCACTTGTCATTTTATGCATCTGGCTTACTTATATACTTTGCATGTATTTTATCAAGTATGGAGGAACTTCGTGGGAACAGCTCTTTTTAAATATGGTCAATAAAGCATTAGGTCCAAGTGTCATCACCATGTTAGCCATCGTATACATGCCGTCGAACCTTGCATGTATATTTCAATTGGCCTACGCAACTCGAGAAAGACGATTTCCAACATGGTTGGATCGATGGATGTTAAGTAGAAAACAACTTGGTCTATTGACATTTGCTTTAGCTCTTTGTCACTCTATGTTCACGATCATTCTTGTATCACCTGCTTATTTCTCTTCATGGTTTCATCGTGCTGAAATCAGAGTATCGACCATTCACAATCAGACACGCTTCGTCTTTCACGACAACTTGATGAAGGGAACAGGAGAATTAGCAGCTCTGTTAGGTGTTCTAACTCTATTTTGTATGTCGATTCTGGCTATAACAAGTATTCCTGCGATTGGTAATTTATTGAATTGGCGAGAGTGGCGCTTCATACAATCAAAACTAGGTACTGTGACATTATTACTTGCTATTGGACACGTCGTTACAGTAGGCATACCATTCTGGATGCCACAGACCTTAGGTAAAGCACTGTATAGTCTTTCTTCGTTGTGCTTATACTTTCCGGTCCTGACTATTTTGCTAAAATTCATATTCTGGTTGCCCTGTTTCAGTCGTCCGCTCTATCGAATTCGTCGTGGACAAGATACGAAGAAAACTATTCAGTCAAATGAAAACTCAAAAATATGATTTAACATTTTCGTACAGTATAATCACTTTGTTTATATACGTAAATAAATTTGAAGATCTAAGCCTATGAGTATGAGTGTGAAATGGGTATGAGCTTGAATGAGTGTGTGTAAGACAACACTATCCACATTGATTCCATCACTTGATATTAGTCTCACAACACAGAATTCATTGAGGACATTGGAATTTGGACTAAATCTTGTACCCTATAGATATATGAAATCAATGATTTGCATTAACTAATGGTATTTAGAGCTTTCTACAATGTAGGATTCATATGATTAATTATTGAAGTTATTTAATCGAACAGTTCATCGTTGTCCTCAGAATCTGTGAAGAAGTAACTTCCATTCTCGTAATATTCGTATAGAATATGAACGA